CTGATATAGCACTAGTTCACAGCAGCCATGTCAAGGTGCTTTATGTATCAACCCAGGAATATTAGAGAGAAATCCCATCAATCAGATGATCTGCTGTGAGCAGCAGATGGCAAATCTGGGCTGGAAAAGCTCCCTTTGCAGTAGATAAAACAGGAGTGTAACCATGCTCAGGGAGGGGCAGCGAGCTGCTGTGATTGGCTGGGTGATAAGGAGAAAGAGAAGACGGAAAAAGGAGCTTAGTGAGACCAACAACAACAAATATGAACACACCCAAACTAACACCAATGCCGGGAACTCCTCAGAGTGATTAGAAAAGAATTTCTCCCAAATTCATTTTACAGCAGGACAAATGTCCAAACTCAGAGTCTCTGTCACGAACAAGCCGCCGTGCTTTAAGCTTGACAAACATGCGTCCTCTGTAGTTAAATCTAGTTTTGACCAACTAAGCCAAGCCATACTTACCACGTGAGGATCTTTAAAAACGTATCCATGCCTTTGTCACATTAGACTACTGCAACTCCCTATACACTGGTGTCCCATCTGCCCTTCTTCATAGACTGCAACTTGCTCACAACACTGCGGCACGCCTCTTAACCAGCACTGGTAGGTTTGAGTCTATTACCCCAATTCTCTCTGACCTACGCTGGCTCCCATTAAATATCACATTGATTTTAAAATCTTATTGCTTACTTTTAAAATCATAAATAATACCATGCCTAGCTATCTTACTGATCTTCTCAGCCTGTATATTCCTAGTAGCGCACTGAGATCATCAGACCAATTGGTGCAACCTAGGTCACGGCTGAAGACCAGAGGTGACCGTGCTTTCCCCTCAGTTGCACCTAACCTCTGGAACAACCTCCTACAAGCTATTTGCACATCTGACTCAATGCAGACTTTAAATCTGGATTGAAAACGTATCTATTTGGTTTAGCCTTCCCGGCTATCTAGAGTACGACTCTAATGCAAGCCCTTTTCTTCTGTTTTGTTGAACAATGTTTTTACTGATTTTACTTTTGAAGTTTTATTTTGATATCTGCTTATGCTTGGTTAATCAATGCTCTCCACCTGCTAGCTTATTTGCATTTATATTTTGCTACTGCTTTCACTGGACCTCTGGTTTTAAATGTGCTATACAAATAAAGTTGTATCGTATTGTAAACCTACAGAGTGGTCACACCAACATTTTATTTGACTTATTTAACTTTGTTTCTCCATAGAGTTAATTATTAAATTAATTGATTGAGCATTGTTTTATAAGACACCCTGCTTGTTTTACTTAACCTGCATTTACTCTCCTCCTGTAGTTTGAGTTAAATCTGGGAGCTGCAGAGATCTGACTCCTGTCTACATGTTAGAAACAAACGAGTAACTGCATGATGGAGGATCACATTCTTTCATTTATCAAATCAATTTAATGTGATCCAGCCGCTGCTGTTGAAGAATAAGCTACAGGAAGTGTCAGCAAACACGTCCACCTTCTCATGGATTACTGACTACCTAACAGACAATATGAGAATGTGAGAGTGGGCAGAGCTCCTGTCCTGCCTGTGCAGGACAGGAGCTCCACAGTGTCCATCCTGAGGCAGGATGCTGATGTGGCACAATGACAACAGGCTAAGACCAGCACAGAGGCTCTGCTGGGAACAGCATCATAGCTGGTGACACCTACAGACAGAATGAAGTGATCACTATGTGTTCATGTGACTGGCTGCACGCTGGAAACATTTGAAGCTGTGGTGGAGAGGAGGTCATTATGCAAGCTTTCGACCACCCTCTGCACCACTTACAGCAGGCAGCAGAGGACCTTCTCTGACAGACTGATGGAGCTCCACTGTGACAAATACA